TATTAGCCAAAGTGGCGGGGAAGAATTTCAGTGGCCAGCGTGGTCGGATTATAGCCATTATACTTCGTCTTCTGGATAGCCAATACATCTCAGCTTTTATTCTTCTTCTACACAACTTTTTCCACCTGCTTCGGTAGGATACCCGTGTTTCTATGTTACCATTGATTTTTTCCTGTTGGCGAGGGTGTAATTCGTTATTAAAAGAAAATAAAAGATCATTTATCATAACATAAATCTCGGCAGCAGCATTTTTGTTCTTGCAATGATGGTGAATCACAGGACTCTTCTGTGCCACTATGGTGGGAAACTGGAATCAAAATTTATATTTCAATTAAGAGTCCTTCCTCCCAACTTTCATTCCATTTCCGGCGGGGAAAAGTAAGGAAAAAACATGGCGTCCGTACATATCAAAACAAAACTTCAACATATGCACATTCTGTACTCTCGTGCCCAACACCAACACTCTTTTAGGAGGAGGATAGATATCAACAGCAGTGCAAAAAAGCAACATAAATATTTATTTTTTTAATTTTTGACATAAAAAACACTAAAAAGACACATTAATTTAACATTTTTCAAAGCAAACATATTTTGAAGACAGTTAAAAACACCCGCCATATTCAAATGTCACAGGTCAATCTCAAGCTGTCACGTGGGATAGATAGAGAAAGTCGAATGGGCAATCGACACCCTTAAATCAGGGTATCAACAATAATAAATCAAATTTGCTGGTTTAAATCTCCAGAATGGCATGGCATCCAGCTATCTCATACAAATATGATCACGGGGAGCAACATTAATTCCAGTTGATTTTACGTTTTAAAAACTCTTAAAAAATTTAATTTTTTAATTTTTCTATTTACTTCACATTCATATTTTTTTTCATATCATTTTAATATACTAATATCAAAAATAATTTTTAAAAAATAAAAAAATATTATTTTAATATATTTATAAATAAAAAAGCTTTGAAAAGTAAACTCTACTGAAACATATTTGCCCACAGCAAAAGGACATCAAGAAACACAAAATAAATGCCCCCAGTTGTGATCACGAGTGATAAAGAGAAACAATATGCTAAACAAAAGAATCCTAAACAAAACTCAAGAAATTTCCATCCACTGCTATAAACAAAGCCCCTTTGGGTTCCTGCCGTTAGTCAGCGGTACAGCCTGTGCCAGAAGTATACAACAATAATCTTACTCTCAGTTATAGGAAGCATACATTATTTAACAGCCTAACCAACAAAAGAGACATCTTCGAGACACGATGAATGTCCGGTCAGACCCAGTCAGCAGATATTTAAATGGTTTCTCAGACAACTTCCATCTGCACACTGCCATTAAAACACAGACCTCCATGCATTCAGCGAAATCAGACCTTTCAAACTTTTAGAGCAGCTTTGTGGACCATAGTTTCTTTGTGTATTTGGTGGCAACTCTTCTCAACAAGATCAAGCAACTTCTCCAAGTTCATTGCCCACGAGTTGAGAATGTCATTGCTATCCTTTGCTACTTGGAAACACACTATTCCCAATGGCCTGTCAATCTTTGCCACCAGAGCTTTGGAAACAACCATATCAGATAGATGCTTCTCAGCTTCCTAAATTGGAGAAAAGGATGGATTAAATGCAAAAGAACTGGAACAATATACATACTTAACATTTCATTAAACATGGTTGATGACCTTTTTTGCTCAGGTACTAGTTTAACTTTTATTTCTTATGATTTCAGCATAAGAAACGAAAACATAGCTATCATTGTTGGTCTATACAAGCTACCAGCTTCAAAGGGGCATCTATAAGATTCTTTAGATGGTTCAAGAGAATGCAATGCCCTGATTTATCGTTTTTTCAAGCCCGCGTCACCAAAGAAGATGGATGGTTGTCTGCCAAATTTTGCAAGTCACCAAGAACCTAGATTCCATAAAATGGGTATGGACAGATCTTATTCCCCTCAAAGCCAACCTGACTCTTAGCCTAGTTGCTTTTTATACCTTCAACAACCACATTACCAATTAATCTAAAAATTGACCACTTTAGATCTGAACACCAGACCTTTAAATATTGCCTGCGACTCTGCTCAACAATTGAACACAACATCTAAATTCAGATAAAAACATCAGAAGTTACAATTAGGATGGAACGGTATAGTTTGAGTATTATGTTGACAAAGTAATTTCTGAAGCAAATTGCTTATTTTAACCACCATTATAGAATATTAGAATAAATAGTTAAACGGAAGCATATGCAACCATGAAGCCTTTATTAATTTAACCAAGGCCTGATAAAATTCAAATCTTTGAAACAAACACATTCACACAAATCTGCTCAGGTTCACATGATGAAGAACAAAGATCGGTATAATGACACCATGGACACAAATGCAAAAAAAAAAAAGATTAATGTGTGCGAACAAGGCATGTGTACAACACAGCCATAGAGAGAGAGAGAACCTGGATGCTGAGACACAATAACTCTGCTACTCTCTTCACAGTAATCTTTGAGTAATACTTTGAAACAACAATGATATTCTGAAAAGAAAACACATTGCAAATGAATGAACAACCAAACTCAACAGTAGATTGAAAGAAAAAGGCATAACTGTTATGCAAATATGACAATTGAAAGTAGATTACATGTTCAATTATTCTTTGCCTCAAATCCTCTGCTGCTTTGTCACCCAAAGATCCCCCAAGCAAGTTCTTCTCGCTTTCAAACTCATCCATGAATGCATTCCAAAGTGATGTCCACTGGATGACTTCCATTGTCACCAACTGCTTCAACAACAACCTATGGAATAGCATCCAATGAAAAGACACACCAAATGACAAGATTGATAAATTAAATTACCAGCAACATTGCAGGAACTGACTAAAGCAACACGTACTTGAATTTTGGAATTTCAGAAAGATTTTTATCCTCCAAGGTGGAATTCAGAAGGCTTGACTGCATTGGATCGTGAGGTGAAAGTACCAAGTACCAACAGATTTTCCTCAAGACCTACGTGTCGTAAAATATCAAGACCGTCCAATAGAATCCATAGAAATCTCAACAGAAGTAAAAAAAACGTTCTTACAGGAATCCATTGGGCAGGGTTTTCCTTTACAGAAGGAATCTCATATATTGCCTTGTAGCAACGGCAAATTTCCAGATAATCATTGTCGTGTGAGTAGTACCTAGAACATGAGTGGAAAGCACAAAGAAAAAAGTCATTGCATAGAGTTGTCACTCAAAATCTACTTAGAAAACAAAAAATCAAGTTATGGAGATTGAATAGTAATTGGTAGAGACATCTTGGATGCTTTGGATTTTTTACTAACTTTTAAATCAAAGGAATTTCAATCAAAAAGATCTTTTCAGTGAAAATTTATCACCAGGTAAACTTGGCCTTGTAGAAGAAGTATGCATGGCAATCACATCACAGAGATATTCAGAAAAGATACTGCAAAGAAAGACCTTTTTAGCAGGGGTTTTTTTACTGTATTTGAAGGAAATTCCAGGTTGTTGTTCAAAAGAGAAGGAGACCGTTCTTACAGTAGAATGTACAAACATGAAATCTCAACAGATATTTATCAGACTATAGAAATCCACAATTGCAAGGTCATATCAGTTTGCCATCAAAAATCACAAAATATAAAATAGCATCAGCAATGTATTTGAAGTTCAAGTTTGCCTGCTTTCAATGTTAGGAACTTTGATTTTCCTTCATGTTATTTTAAATTGAAAAAAAAAGGTTTGGAAGAAAAAGAAACTTTCCAGCATAAGACAGCAGAGCGTTCTGAGCAAGAAATTCAAACCTTTTATTAGAAATCATATTTGACAACTTATTACTTGGTTAAATCAAGCACATTAATTTGCTAGAGTTTGGAACTGAATGTGATTGTTAAACAACAAATGACAACCAGGCCTAAATCCACCGCCAATCCAGATTGCTAACTATGAGCAACAAAATATAATGCAAGATCACAGCGCTATTCAATAGTTCTCACTGCATGACTTAAAATCTTGGAAAGCAATACAGGGGCTTGCCCACTCAATTGCATGGTTGAAAATAAATCAACTCCCAGGATATATAGAATTGGGCATGGACTTGTATGCATATTAAGTTAGGCTAACATATTTATCTGCATTACCGCTCCAGATTAAAGAATAAAAAAAATCTCAAAAGAGGAAGGCCTTTTCCCTTAGCTCCAAACAAGAAGCCATTTTACATCCACATGAAAAACATGTAATCTTGTGTATTGCCCTACCAACAGGGTCACTTGAACACATTGTATGTAAAAGCAACTCCAATTTACTTTTAATAAAGCTAACAATTACAATCCAAAGACCCAATCAAAGGCCTGGTACAGACCAAATACAGACTTCAGAACAAGTAAAAAACATCTGTTTCCAGCATCCCATGGGGCATGCAAGTACATAAATAGAATTTATAAAGATTCTGAGGACCGTTTCTGTAATTTCTTTGCATTAGAATTAAATTTTGCTAAACCAAGAAGAAACACAGCCAAATAAGCTCAGCAAAATTCAAAGATGCACTTTAAAAAGATACAAAGGTTGTGCAACCAAGGAGCTCATGAAACTATTGAACATCACATAAAACAAAGAAACCAAGTGAAATTATTCAAAAGAAAATTAAAGCAAGAACATGAAATAAACAATATATGGAAATTACATACCGTATCATCAATTCATAGTAGATCCGCTTTAACTCCAACAGTGATGGTATATCAGCAGGAGCCTCTTCCACAACATTATCACCTTCCTTTGGTTTCTTCTTCGACTTAGAAGTATCAGCATCAAAAACCCTTGGACTAATCTTCCTTGAGAGAATTTGTGCACGAACATAATCCTGGCGGTCAAGGCATAGACGAACCTGCCCCAACAAAATTGTTGCACATTCAAATTAAAACCCTAAAAACAACCAAAACAGGTCCTCAAACTTAACAAACCAGAAGCTAAAAAGACCACTACTCCTCCATGATCTACAGCAGTTGGACTCCCAGTTAAGGCGCCTTAGATACAATCATATCCTTCACTATTAATTGCATATGGTTGCAATTCTAGCCTCATAGCTATCCGATTTCTTTGTTTGATCTCAAAGACATTAATTAACATAAAAGAACAAGTACCAAATAGAAAAAAAGCACAAACAAAAGAAAGAGATGTACTTGCTCAAGAATAAATGCAATTTTCTCAGTTTTTGCCATAGCACCAAAAGTTTCCACCTGCAACTCAAAAAATCAAAATGCATCAATCTTCTTACAGGAAAACAAACAGCTCTACAAATTAAGAATACAAGCACCAAAATCTTACCGCAACTTCTTGCATCAGATCTGCAGCTTCAGCTGTAAGCCCTTGTTCTTCCTTGATCTTACCTAGTTTTCTAATCAACCTTGCTCTCTCAATTTCAACATATATCTACACACCATATAAACAAAAAAGCTTACAAAAACAGCACCCACAAAATTCACAGAAACAAGCGTGTTTACACCCACATTACAAAATCAAATCCAAATAGATAAAATATAATGATATATACATAAAAGGAGCGTGAAAATCAATCAAACCTTGCCAGCAGACACACTGTTAAGTGTTTTAATAAGTTCTACACGGGTGTCAAGATCCGGCGTCTCGTCAATGTACTGCATTGCTTGCTGGACCATTGCAGTTACAGCCTGCACCAAAAAAAAAAAATTCAAAATCCACCAAACAAATCATAGCATACAAAACACATAATTTACTTGAGTTTATTTACAAACTAATTAAAAATAATGTTACCTGTTTAAGTTGACCACGTTTTTTAGAGAGAAGGACAATTTGGTCATTTAGAGATTTCCAATCTTTAGCTTCGAAGCAGAGTTGGAGAATTTCGGTAACGGCTTTCTTAGTGCCGGCGACGTCTCCGGCAAGCCTCATCTGCTTTTCGACATTCTGCAGTTGTTCTATCGCCGCTTCCAAATTCGCTTTTCCCTCCTGATTGATTTTTTGTTCATAAATTAAAACAAAAACACAAAATCGAAGCGAAATCGAAAGAAAAAATTATTGAAATGAGTTAATTTTAGATCTGATAGAGATTCTTACCATCTTGAGCCGGAGAAAGTTCTGCTCAGCTCAGTACCTTACTAACCCTAATGGAGGAGGTGTTTAGGTTGAGAGAAAGAGTGAAGATTGAAAAATGCTTTGTTATTTTAGGCCATTTCATTAGATTATTCTTTAGTCCCTGTTGTTTTAGCAATGTAAATATCTAATCCTTTCGGTTTGAGAAACCAATGTGAAATCCCTATAGTCGTATATCCATTTACAACTGAGTCCTATGTCAGCTACCATTTATATATACATGCATACATATATGTGTGTATATATATATATATGTATATATAATTCCCTTATTATTTAGTCAAATTTTCTAACCTCATGTGAGTCCTATGCTTCGGTGTTCAGCTGCAACTTGTTCATTATATCAGTAGATACAACATTAAAACACATGAATTATTATAAATGCATCATAAACTTTTTCATTTGCCTTCTTCACGTACTTGGCACAGGTGGATCTTGTGGAACTGTGTTGGCTAAAACGAGAAAGACCATGAGGGAGGAGGAGAGGATGGGCTGGTGGCCATTTTAGTGATGGTGGGAGAGGTTGAGAACCGGGAAAATTTCTAGTTTTTGAGTCGCATTTCAATGATGAGACTGAAAAGAATGATAGTGCAAATCTGATATTTGAAAAGCTTTCCAGAACTAGATAGTCGCTTTCCAGAACTAGAAAGATTTCCGGTTTCTACTCATGTGATAGATTTCCACGATAACTAGTATCTTCATCATGGCCTCAATGAGTATATATTTCCTTTTAATTCTAAATAATAACATTATCAACTTAAAGTTATCTATCCCCTTCTTATTTATTTAAAGATAATATTCATTATCCTTTCATCATCCTTCCATCATCCACCAAGATCATAGTATAATATATGGTTAGAAAGAATGGTGATCACTACCACTTTTTTTCTCGTGAGAAAAAATTGATAAAAATCTAGAAAAATAAAAATATTTTAATTTAAAATTTATTTATTTTACTCATATCTATTTCGTTTAATATTACTTGTAAGCTCAAATATATTTAATTTTTATTTTTATTTTAATAACCTGAGGTGTTCGCGTGAACTTACATATAATACAACTAATCTTTAGATTCATTACAACTAATTTTTAGATTCATTGAACATTTTGCAAGCCAAGCCACAAGGAAAAAAAGAAAAAAAAATGCTTAATTATTGTATTTTTTTGCCCAATAATCTAAGAAACATACTGTTCACACTTCTTTATCATGTCTCTTTAATCTTTTTAAAAAAACTTCCCGTTCAAATAGCTTTCTCAGGGTGTACACAGTTCATACATGTCAGATATATTAATTAAAAGGTGCAGTTCAGGAATATTTAGTTATTTAAATGCTATGGCACGTTGTCCTGATAGAAAAAGAAGAGATAATTTTACCCTGTTTGTGTAAAAAGAACTAGTTCGAGTAAGCAATGGATTTGAAGACTCACAAGTCACAATGACTGTTGTTCTTCTTGGCAATTCTCAGAACTCCAATACATGCATGAAAACGGACGTAGAAAAGAAGCCGAGAACCAAGCTCAGCAATATGGGAAATGGATACACTGCTGCCATCATAATGATGGAAATCATCCAAGGCCTCCCAACTGAAAATCCTCATCTATATCTAAAATGGGGCTCTCCAATAACTTCCCAGGGTATATGTGCTATTATCAAAGAAATCACACGGCATCTAAATCTTGTAAATCTTGCTATAAAAAACATCGTACTATTTGCAAGAATCTCAAACAAATTCCCAAACTCCTCCCTTTTTTATACCATGTTTCGAGATAAGTGTTTTTCATCAATGGCTCAACTTGAGATTCCTGATGCAAAGAGAACTCAACATCTGCTGCCTTCAGCTTCAACTGTTATCAGATCTACAGCATCACGACGCTGGGATATCTTTAAAGGTCATTATCAATTTCTAGATTGTCTTGTACTTTTGTTCGACTGTCTCCCTCTGAATCATCTATTTTTACTTCTGGGGTTCGACTGTCTCCCTCTGAATCATCTATTTTTACTTCTGGGGCTATATGCATGGGCATCTCTTCCTGTACATAAGCCCGGAAATTGTTTCTTGAAGGCTTTGTCTTGGTGCAGAATACTTCACGAAAATTCCCAAAGCACCCTCGGTCATAGACATTTTGCCTGTTGGCTGCTCCATAGCGAAAGTTTTCATTTGTAGTCTGAAGAAAATTTTAAAGAGTTAGAAACCGGGCCATTGAAATGCTGGAAATAAAACACAAAAGTATTTGGGTGAACCTCTCATGCTTTATTGATTAATCTGCCCTCACATCAACACCCTTATTATTCTCAATGTATTGGCTCTTATATTTTTAGGGAGATTACACCTCTAACTATCTAATTAAATAAGGATTCTAATAAACTAGTTTAACACAAATTCTTTTCGACAAACAATTCCTACTTGGACTGAGATTTTTATCTAACATGAAAGGCATATAGAGAGGAAAACACTACACAGAACCAATATTGCCGGAAAAAATGTTTCTCATTCTCTGAGGAAAAATAATTGACTTTAACAAAAATTAGTACTCAAGCATAAGAAGAGAATGGTTTCCAAAAAACAATAACCTGGTTTCTGCCAATAAGATACAGATGGAAGCAGGTGAGACCTCCAACAAACCAGAGGAAAATGAAGGAATAAACCATTAATATAACAGAGGCAGGTGATTCCTTCATCGCCTTCCACAGAGTTCCATGATCATCCATAACAAATTTTATGTTCAAAGCTGACATTGCAAATATGAAGATGCAGAGAAGAGCTGATGAAGAAACAAACAGAAAGAAGTCGCGGTAGTTGCGCTGCAAAACCATAAAAATACTTGGCTTAATTATGACAGAATCCAATTTTTCACCAACACACACAAAAGTTGAAAACACATTGATTGCAAGAAATCTTTGAGGAATTCAAATTACTCCATGTAGTCAAATGATTTTTTCTTCATTTCATTGTCCTCACTGTTTGCCAATGCACTAAGCTGGCAGTGGAATGTTGGATGTATAACCACACTGGCCAAATCCATTCAATCAATTTATCTAAAACTTCTCCAACTACAACTCAGAATGATGACATCCCTCAATGAGCAACTCTTAAAATGGACCCTTATCCTTGTTAAACAAATGCTAGTGAACTCTTGATACTAGAGTTGCAATTTTGGTTTGAACGATAAATATCTCAGAACAGGAATTTGTTAGCAGATCCAGGCTAATGTAAATCAAGGAAAGACTCGCATCACCCAGTAGATAATTCTGGAAAAGATTATAGAATAGAAAATTTTCCGAAATGCATCTTTTTAAATGTTTTAGATGGATTCTCAATTTGAACCATGCACTCAATTCAACAAAATTTTGAGCAACCTGGACTTACATACCAGTCCAATGCACTGGCCCACCCAAGGACAATGGTGATCGAATCGCTCCACACAATTATCACATACAGAGCAATGTGAGCAACGTGGTGGACGATATATCATGCATGTATTGCAATACTTCACTTTCACAGGAACACCATTGACAAACACTTCTTTTGTGCGAGGGAACCATGGAGTTGGTGTGTGTCTCCCACAAGCATCAACTGGGTCTAGAAAGCCATAACCAGTATCTTCCTCTGGTGGATGTGAATTGCGAGGAACAATGCCTGGGTCACGGGCTGAAGTGAGAAAGAGGAGCACCAATACCTACCATGAGTTCATGACTACCAATGGTTATAATTGAATGGTTGCCAGATATAAACTGAGGGCAAATGAAACAATGACCATGATAAAGGCCAAATATGAGAGATACAGGCCTGGTAAAAACATCATGGGCACAAGAAAAGCATAATTGATAACAAAATGAAAGATTTTTTAAGGAATATTGGGATGGTGAGACAATTAGGCAAGCAAATGGAAACATTCTGACGTTATTATAAACAAATATTCATCATATTTCCCATATCGCTGCCTTCACCATGTAAATCAAACATCACGGCTGTAACAGCAGTTAACAAAGCAGAGAAAGAATCAGCAGGACTCACATAGATGGTAAACAGAATTGTTACGACTAGAATGACATAAACAGCATTGTGTGTTGGAAATTCATGGAGGAGGTTCCTTGCGACATTTGTACAGAAAATAACAATGGGAACCACGATGAGCAGGAAGGTAATAACCAGTGACCTGGCGTCTGGACCAAACATAAGCCTCCCTTTGAAGAAGAAAATCTGCATGATGAACTCAATAATTAAAAGAAGAAAAATTCCGGAAAGCATGGAGAAAGAACTTATCAATTCATATACTTACATCAATACAATCAACATACATATGTGTGTGTGTGTTTCCTTTTTGCTTATAGCAGAACCGCTACCATCTTAGCTCAAAATCCATTCAGGATATTAGGCCGTGACATCCCATTTCTTTCCCATATCAAGATTGTTTATCACTCTCCAATACCATATCCTGTAGTGAAGATTTTGCTCTCACTGCTCAGAGGTAACAACATCCAGTCATTAATAATGTCCGTATAACATATCGATTAGGTCTTAGGTTCCACACTTCCAAACTCCCTCCTGTAGTCGAACATGTCGGAGGCCTAATTCCCCTATGTGTGGAGTGGAGGGCCACATCCCTGGAGATTTAAGGTTCAGGATATGTCCACTTCCACCGTACGTGGCCGAGGTTCAGACTGGTTACTCAGCTATAAGAGATAATATCTAAAAGCAAAAGCCAACAATATTTGAAGAAAACCGGAAATGGAATTCTATAAAATGATGCTCAGTACAATACAATACAAAAAACAAAGAAATTATTAATTCATTGAAAAAAGCACAGAAACTTCAATCCAGCAAAACCCCGTCAGTCTAAATCATACAAAACGAAACCATATAAACAAAAACCCAGATCATAATTTCAACTATACAGACATGAATTAAGGCAGACGCAGGGAAGAGGAAGTTATGAAGCTTACATTGCGTCCCTTCCAAACTTGGTAAACACGCTTAGCCATTTAGGAGGTAGCTAGATACTTTTAGCAAGGAGGGGCAAAGCAGAAAGAAATAGAGAAGAAGAAGAATATTTGAAACTTGTTGCTGGAAAAGTGTGCTTTTGCTTTTCAGACACACACGCACAGAGGCGGTCTGGGGCTTTAAAAATATGAAATGATGGGGTCTGGGTTTTGGTGGGGGGTTTTTGGAACTTTCCTTGAGGCCTTGTTGGGATATGAGATAACGCCATGGATTGTCCTTCTCTCTCTCTCTCTCTCTCTCTCTCTCTCTCTTCCTGGGAAAATTAGATTATTTAGTTTTAAGTGAGCTGAAACTAAAAATATTTTTCTTTTCAAAATTTTATTGATTTTTCTTTGGGCTTAGCTTTCATGCAATTTGGGCTTAGCTTGCATGCAATGAGATTGAAGTCCAGTCCGTTCAATGATACGAAAACTATCCATGTTTTCTTTTATATTGCAATTAAATGATATAGTAATTGTAGTAAGCGTGTATTAACATTAAAATTATTCTTCTTCTCATAAAAGGAAAAAATAATTATTATTATTTTTGGTCATTCAATCAAAAAATAAAATCTTATTAGGTTTAAACTGGGTTAAAAGGTTAATTTTATTGATTAAAATAAAGATAATAAAATTTGAATTCATACTTATTAGGTTTAAACTGGGTTAAAAGGTTAATTTTATTGATTAAAATAAAGATAATAGAATTTGAATTCATAATTATTTAATCATTAAAATTTTAATAACATATTAAATAATCATTTCAATTTAAAAATATAAATACTTAGGTGAGATTTTAAAATATAATTTATATATTATAAATAATGATATGTTATCCATATAATATAAAATAAAATCTTTGATTTGTATCATGAAATTAAAATACAACATAGCTTTAATATAAATCATCCGATAATAAAATATTTTCTTGAATTTTATGTTTTATAGACATGTGTTGTATCCAATTTCTAATATTATTGGATGCAAAAAGTCATCTGAAAACACTTGATGAATTCTTCATAACTATTTATCAAATTCCTCAATTAACATACATAAATGCATAGTCTCACAAGAAAAAATATTTACCCTGAAACATTATATTCAAGTCACATCATCAACTATTTAGTAAATGATTTTTCTATCCTCGGTTATTCTCATTTACAGAGCTAGTATAATTTATTTATTTTTTTCTGATTTGGCTATAGGGTAGCAAGATCTATATATATATATATATATATATTCAAAGAAAAAAATATGATAATATTATTTATAAATCCATTTCGGTAAAAAATAAAGGAAATTAGGTCATCGACATATAAAAACCAAAGGATAAAAACAAAAATTATACTTGCAAGAAGAGTGAAGAACTGAGATTAGCGGCACAAACAAACATACTCAACATAAATTGCACGTTTAGAATCATATTTCCAAACATAGCTTAAAGTTAACTTTGATATTACTATGCACCGTGATAATAATAATAATAATAATAATAATAATAATTTATTATGTAGCACTGCAGTAACAAGCAAATTATGTTTTCGCTGCGGTTAACCGCAATAAATAATCCATAACAATGCGAGTATATAAAAAAAGAGGTTCGAACTATGTCATATTAAATTTTTTTTATCAATAATAATCTAGATTTTGATGAAGTTGTATTTGAATCAATTAGGTTGACTTGATCATCTAATATTAGTTCCCAGTTAATTCAACTTGAAAACTGACCGGAAATAAAATAAAAGGCACAACTTTTTTTTAATATGTGTTGTAATTACTTTTAATTTTCATTAAATAAGTAACAAAGAACAAAAAAATAGATTTTGTTTGTAAAAATAAAAAAATATTAACAAGAAAATGATGAATTATAATAGTATATTATTTCATTTCAATAGAATTTAAATTATTACTTTTTTTTAATAAAAAACTCATTCCCATATAATTAAATAAAATAATAAGAGCTCTACATGACATAAGATAAGATATTAAATTTTTTTCCCAGCTTCCCAATATAGTTTTTAGTTAACATTCACAATAATTTTTAATATTTATTTATACATTTAATTCTTAATTTATTTTATTAAATATACACTTCAAATTTAAATTTTACAATAAAAAATACTCCCATGTAATTAAATAAAACAATAAGAGGAGCTCTGATCAGATATTTTAATATATTTTTCTTTCTCCTCTTCTCAATTTAACTTTTAGTTATTATTTATAATTATTTTAAAAATTTATTTATACATCTTGATTGTTTTATAAATACATGTCCAGGTAAGTATAAATACACATATTAAATTCAAATTTCATTATTTATAAATTTTTTTTCATTTGATTAACTAAAATTTGACAGAGAGGGGCTTACTTGTAAAAAAATACTATAATTGAGATACTAAATCAAAGACAAGCATATTCATAGAAAATTGAAAGGAGGGGGTTGTCAATGAAGGGCTTATTTGAAATATAGTAATAGCTATTTTTTAAATAATTCTCGTGAGGGCTTATTTGAAATATAGTAATAGCTATATTTTAAATAATTCTCCTGTTAAAATACATGTTAATAATAATTTTTTATTTTATAAAAATTATTTTTAATATTAATATATTAAAATGATTTAAAAACATTAAAAAAATATTAATTTAAATTTAATAAAAAATAAAAAAATTAATTTTTTTTAAAAAATATTTTTAAAATACTTTTTAAAAATATTTTTAAAATACAGAAACAAACAACTCCAAAATAGCTAATTTTATATGTGTCAGAGAAGAGGGTCGGGGCTTTCAGGGTTTATGCCTATGATTTGTGTACTGGAACAATGCAGACGCTGCTGGCTGGAGGTCAATTATTTGGGCTGGGTGCCCATTTCGGCTTGAATATTATGGGCTCATTTTAAGTTTAGGGCTCATTTTATGTTTAATTTCTAGAAGCCCATGCGGACAGGCGTTCAGTTGTTAATACTAAGAATTGTTTATTCACTGTAAAGTATTTTTTAAAGTAATTTTTATGAAAAATAATTTTTTTTTATGTTTGATATTATTATAAAAAATAAATTAAAAAATAATTTTTGATATTTTTCTATATCATAAAAAATGAGTTGGGATATAACTCATTAGTATTTTTTTTCATGTTTATTAAAAAATAAGAACCAAATTTAGCATATAAAAAAATTAAAATATGATGAAATTAAAAAAACTATAATTTTATAATTATTTAAAATAAAATAAATACAATCAAAATAATTGAGATCAAATTTTATAGATAAAAATTTCAATTAAGAAAATGTTAAGAAAAAATCAAATAAAAATCAAAAAAATAATGATAAGGATAAAAAATAGTATAAAAATAAAATCAAATAAAATTATAAGGAATGAAATTAAAAAAAAAATTCCAATTAAAATATATAATAATAAAAAAATTGATGATTAAATTCGATATAATCAACAAATAACAAAATATTTATAATTTTTCATAATTTTTAAAAAGTGTTTTCCATTAAAAAAATTTTATTGAAATTTTTTTTCGTTGATCAATTTTTTAATGATAAATAAATATAAAAATATTTGAAAAATAATTTCTAAAAAACCAAATTTTATGAAATAAATAGGCTTTAAAAATAAAAAATTAATTTTTACCTCATAAAGTTATTATCTTAGTAGTTTTAATTAAAAAAAACTTGCAATAGTTATAAAAAATATATAATTATTAAATTTAATTTGATGCTTGATTCAATGAAAAACAAGTCAACTCATTTTTTTAATAAATAATAAAAATAATATTATTTTTTAATATTAAAAAATTGATATGATTAGATGAAACGCTTAACTGCACCAATTTTTTAACCGATTTAATATTAAAATTAATTAGGTTGGGTTTAGAATCATCAAGTTTTAATGTCGATGCACAAAGTTTAATAACTATATAAAAAATACCCATTCTCTTAATTCCCATTTAATTTTCCTAAGTGTAAAAATAGAAATTAAATTAAACCCAGCTACACGCCACAAAAAAAAGAAGAAGAAGATAATTACAGATCAGTTCCTGTAGTTTAACGAAACTAATTTATCAGTCCCTCTCATTTTAGAAATTAGTAATTACTCCTTGTATTGATTGTTAGTACTCTAACAAATGCATTAGTTTTGTGCTGAGTTCCTAGTGGCCATTTAAAGTCCCCTTAATTATGTTTACTTATGAAATTTTTCCCAGTTATCTGATTTTTTTAAGAAACGCAAAACTAACGAGAATACATTTATTAATTGAAAATAAAAACTTATTTTACTGGATATGTACTTTTTTTAAAATATTCTTTTATTCTCTAAAAAAATTAAAAACATAAAAGAGATTGTTTTTTCAAAATCCTCTACTGTAAAAATAAAGATCTCTTGTAATTCACCTAATATCTTACGACCATTCCTTTTATTATTTTCAACATAGACCAAATAAGGATTTTTTTTCTATTCTAGAATATTTATATTTTATAAATGTGTTTCTTTATTTTTTTTCTTATGGAGAAAAGCTTTTATTTTGAATTAATGTATTAATTTTATTTTTTCATCAAATTAAAAATTACTTTTAATTTTTTAAGGAACTTGTAGAGAATGAATATGGCTTTTAATTTTTTTTTCTTCTTTTTAATATATGGTTCTTGGAGGCATAACCATTTTTATTTTTATATTTACTCATTTAAGTGTTGGAGGATTTTTTTAATAATAAAAGACTTAATTCTGAGCGGTGTAATTTAATTGCTTATATTTTAAGTTTACTTCTTAAAAATTATTTATTTGAATCTCATAAATTTCAGGATTATTGAAAATTTATATTATCGTTGAATCTCATAAATTTCAGGATTATTGAATTTCAGGATTATTAAAAATTTATATTATCATTAATTTTAAAATTCATAAAATTAGTTGAGATGCATGTAAGTTAGTTTAAATACTCATGTTAACAAAAAATAAACATATTTTTTTATAAAGCACAAAACAACAAAAATATTCATCCATTGATGCATCAAATTCTGGCCAAATTCGGTCAATCCATAAGCCCTTCAAGCATTGAAGGATCCAAATTAAACTAAATATAAAATTTTTATAATTTTTGGATACTCAAATCAATTTTTTTATGTAGAATTGTGGGTGCACAACTAGATTATTTTACTTTTTTTTTTAAATTTGTGAAATTCAATTTTATAACACTCATGGATAAATAAATACATGAACCTTAATAATGCCTAACAAGTACTTCTCATTAAACCAAACCAAAATTAATTGAAAAAAGAATTCAAAGGAACGGACGTAGACAATTTCAAATTGAAGAAAATAGGGTAAACATGGATCATATATGGCAATCTACTTGTAATCCTCGGTGGCTTCACCAAGAGTTTCTAATTCCATCGATTTTAATGCTTTTAATTCTAGATAGATTTATTATTTTACTGCATTGAATACGTTGCACCGCAGCCTCACCATTGAATTGGCTTTAGTTACTCTTCCTCACTGTTTCTCGCACTTCCTAAGTTGATTTTCACCTAATTCTCCCATGATGAGCTAAGAGAGAACTGTCGATAAGTTTAAGCTTAAGCATATGAAAGGTGCAAATAGTGTTTTTATTGTAGAAATTTCACAGGGGCGGTTTCTAGAATTCTGGACAGTGACTTGATTTAGAACTTGGCTTCAACCTAGCAATGCATTGAAGATTCATCCTTTCAAGGCTCCAGATCGGGAATTCACTACATACGAGGGCGGAGGCATGGTAAAGGTTTGAATGTGTTATAGATCAAGTTAAGATTTTATTAAATAATTTTATATAAAAAAATTTATAATTATTGATTGAGTTATTAAACAAATTTAAAAATTTACGTGGAGTCTCCTAATATAATGCTTTAACTTGAGTTAAAATTTTAGATTTTTTTGAGAAATTCAAAAATTTAATAAAAATTTGACTAGTTTTATATTATTAGAAGTAATTTTCAATTTGACTATCAAATTGAACTTAAATTTTATAAGAAATCTTAAAATATATTAAATAAAATCTAGTTAAATTTTAAGATAAGCGAAGCTTGATAGTGTCAACAAAAAATAATCGTCAAAATCAAAGTAGAACAACTCATTAAGAATAAAATATTTATTTGTCATTGAAAAATAAAATAAATCAATTTTTTCTTTTTTTTATATGTTCTCAACTGTAAAAGCATAATAGGCAAAGAAATAAAAGAAAAAGCGAGAGAGAAAAAGAGAAAAGTTAGGGAAAAATATAAAATAAATCTAAAGAAAAAAAATAAAAAAGTAAGAGAATAACTTTGTAAATTTATAAAATCTAATTTATAAAATATTAATCTAATTAAGAAAGAATCAAGAGAAGGGAAGGAAAATTGAGAGAGGAAAAAAATTTAATTACTTTATTTTTTCAGTTGACATGAGATTGTTATTTTATCCTAGTTGAAATCGATTTATATTTGATTATAGATAAATTATATTTCACAAAATATCGAAGAATATAATTTTAATAGTAGGTTTATTTTTACTTTCCCTTTAATTTTATGTACTTTTAAATTTATTTTTTAATATTTTAGATAGTATATTTGAATTAAAATTTTACTATAAACTTCAAAAATTTATATATATAAATTAATAATTGATTTTAAAAAAAATTTATATATGCATTTAATAGTTCAAGGTAGAAAAAATTCCTGACTCCCGGCCTGACTACATACCCTCATTAAGTGCATGTGCATCCATATATCCAGTCAAGAAAAAAAGAAAATAGATATATAGAATGCATCCATGCCTCACCTTCTAGTTTATAATTACCATTGCCGATCAGAAACTAAACAAACAGATGAGTTGAAATAACATACACAGCCATGGCAGCTTCATAGTTCACGGCTTTTGATCTCTTACTAAATGTCTGTATTACATTGTGAAAAGTCTTCAACAGTCTCTCTGATCATATGAGATCATAATTCTTTTGCCTCTCATCAAATATTTCTGTACGTTATGGTTCTGCTTTCTTACTTAATATTATCATCCATTTTGTTACAAAGAAAATCGGAAAATGTCAGGAATTTATATGGGAGTACGTTGTTCAAACCAATGAATTAAGAGTCCTCCAGAGGTACAGAAAAAAAACAAAAAGAAAAGAAAATTGCACTTGGATTTCATAACCAAGGTATTACAAGCATAGCAGATACATCTGTATATCATGCTACAAGTCAGCTAACTTTATGCCTTGATATAACCTAAGTGACAAAAGATCAATTTCCATACACGGAACCCCCCCTAGTGCAACATGTATTGCAAGTTACGCTCTAAATAACCACAGAGTAATTAATATAGTGCAGTATTTGCCCCATCTATATATTAAAATGTATCTGCTAGGCACTAGCTACAAAGCTATATTAATTATTAAGCTCAAAATCATATATAGAAGTGTAGGTACAAGAATAGGCTAAACTCTTATAGTAGCTCAACCAAAATTTTTCCATTTTAGTTATGGATTGGAGGCTTCTTACTTGCTGGGGTGTAGTCCATCCCAGCTAGTTCATCCACATCATGTAACCCATTTTCTTTTGATGGAAACAGATTATTATGGTCCTTCTTCTCTACTTCATGATTGTTAACCTCTCGCAAAGTCCTTGCTGCTGGAAATACAAGAGAAAAGGAAACCAATTAAGGAATACTTTACAATATCAGAACTTCACAACTTTTAAAGATCATCAGAGACATAGAAAAATACCTCTAGCACAGGTGGAAGCAAAGCAAAGCAGGAAAAAAGCTACGAGAACAAGATGGTTGCGTGAAATCTTTGCCATCCTAGGACTTCTTTCTGGTTTAGGTGTTAATCTGTGTAGCCTCTTCAAACTGATGATCTCTTATATAGAGGTAGACTAGTACTTTGATGCCAACATGCTTGGACAATGTTGCAACCGACGGTGACCTAAATTTTTGTAGTAATTCTACGTGAGCAAATGCGGTCTTGTAAGTGTCAAAATCGATGTCTCCCTGCTGTTTCATGCTAGCATAGACAAGAGCCTTCTGTTGAAGGCTAGAAATGCATCAGTTGAGGTCCGAGGGGCTCACTTTTAAGTATAATCGGTATTAGGTAGGTGCATTTCATCTTTTCACTTCGTGTTTGTTTTACTTTGTACTCACTCACTTAACGTCGCTTTAAATTATTATTATTATTTTTAATTTAAAACTTTTTTTGATTTTTCGCCACTGAGTGATTTCATGTAAATCAATATCCAGATGCTCTTGTCCCTTTCTCACAAGAGATCGAATTTTTCATCCAATTGTTGGAAAAATCTATTTGATAAGGCTACCTTTTCGACCTTGGTCTTGATATATGAGACCTGACTTCAAATACTTTTTGTTCGTGATTAAGAGAAATAAATAAATAAATAAAAGGATGGTTTGCTGGAGAAAAGGGGTGATTCTGAACAACGATACTTGTTCTAGCTATGGAGGCCAGGGCCCGAAGACTCTGCTAGGGCCCTAGACGTTCTTTTATTTATTTATTTATTCAAGATACTAGCTAAGAAATTTCGCAAAGTACTGGTGCCCAAGGCTGCCTGTGATTCCTTGATGTAGCTGAAAAGCATGATTAGATAGCCAGCCCCATAGAATTTAATTGTCTAATTATCCAAGCTTCATGCTATCAAATTCATTGTAATAAGAGGAGCACAGGAACTTTGTGCTCACTTTTTGTTGATTATTAATAGTGCAAATCATCCAAACCCTCATGACAATAATCGCACTTTTCTTCTTTCTTGTATTATTCATTTGTTGTCAAGCTTATAATAGAGAGGCAGCAAATCATAGCGCAGTGGTGGATTGAATTTATTACGCTCAAGGGATAAGGGAACAGCTTCAAGCATGTCAGATTTCTGGGCCCTCGTTCTGCTATACCTCAAAGCAAACTCTCTGACCTAGAGAACATGTATATCTCGTGCTTACTACCTTAATTTACTTTTGTTCACATGATTAATTCACTGGAGATTTCTTCTTGAACTAATTAATCATGCAGAAAACAAAGCATTGATTAATGGAGGGAGAAAAACCGACATTGATGGAGGCTCCGATGATTTTCGGATGAGCTGATAAGCAATGCTTGTACAAAAAAATCACGTGGACAATCTGCTTAATGGACCCTCCTTGCCCTCACTATGAGCAAACACTAAACATGACTAATCTTGCAAATTAGTAGCACTTAAGACATTGACATTAACAAAGGTTAATTATAAGAAAATAATGCGGCTAAATTACAATGAGTCGTATCAAAACATAGAACTTAGTTTTTGTTGATGTACAAGCTATTTACCATGAAAGAAGGTGCGAATTTCGTTCTTGCCGACAAATTCTTATCACTCACAGAATATTGTAGAATTCAGCTTGGCATTTTTGCCTTTGATTTATATTGTGTTAATTTATTCCATGTTCTTCATTTTGGAGTGAGTTTAAGATTTCCCGATATGTTTTGAGTTTAGAATCGAAATCTTTTTTCTTGACAGCAACTTTCTTTTCTAGAAAATTCAGATAGCCAACACTGATCAAATGACAACTTTTCGGTGCTTTGATCGAACAAACTATAATTTAATTAAAGGGGATCTTCACTTTCAAGCAAATGTTTGGTTAAAGATTTGCTCTTCAAGAATCCAATAAAGTTTATCACTATTAAAACTCAGCATAAAGAGTTTCTTGCTTCGTTATTATTAGTGTTGGAGGCTCAAGCAACTTGCAATTTTTATATTAGAGCTACTGAGAACACCGTCCATCTTTTCATTCATTGTTACTTGGAATATTTGAATGAGAATTTTATCATGATGGAGAATTAATAGATGTTTTTCTAGATGTTTGGATAACATATTATATCAATTATTTGTGCTGATTATTGGAATTTTTTTACAAAAAAATATTTAAAAGCTTTTATCTTTCTATACAAGCTCAAGTATATGGCTAGTCTGGAATAATATTGCCTTTCAAGAAAGTATTATAAATTTTATAACCATCAATTTACCTATTTGATATTTAATTTTATAATAAATGCAAATAATATTAAATTTTATTCAGATCAACGTAAGACTTACTGATTTTTTTTTCATATATCAATATTAGTTTTTTTTTATCTTTTTTCGTGGCTACTGTCTGTTAAAAAAAAAAAAACCCTTCATTTACCAAGATATTCATAGAGCAGCATGTCAAAAGAGGGGGAACAGTGGACTGATGGTAGTGGGTGAAAACTCCTTGAGCGAGTAAATTTGGGAATGGCCCCGGTGGCAGCCTTATTACACTTGTCGACCATACGGGTGCGGTGCGGGGGTCCGCAAGGTAACAACTAGCAACCTCGTTAAGGTAATTCTCCACCATATGTCACAGAGCTTTGCCACCCTTTTCATTGCTCGTAGCAGGGGATTTGAGGGCCCTTGAATTCTTAGTTCTAATGATCTAAAATTTGTATTTCACTGGGAGTTGGGGGCCCTTCAATTCTCCTCAGAGACCTAACAATTAGAACCATCCAATCCACGCAAGTGATTTTGGCCCACTAAAAGGATGAGAACTGCAGAGGTTGGGCTTTTTCATCACTCTACAGGATACGCTTGTCACTTCAAGCAAGAGCGCCTTTACAAAATTAGCTCCGTCATCATACAGCCACTTGCCACTTGCTAGAGCTGACAGAGATGGGGTTTGAGTTAAGATTTAGTAGATATTGTTTTTTAAATATTTTTTATTTATTAATTTATTTTTAATATTAATATATCAAAACAATTCAAAAACTTAATTATTTTTAATATTAATATGTCAAAACAATTCAAAAACTTAGAAATAATTTTAAATTAAAAAACTAATTTTTTTTAATACAATGGGTTACACAATGATAAACACCAATTTCAAGTATTACCTCTACACCTCTTCAAAAAGTTTTAATACAATGGGTTACACAATGATAAAAACCAATTTCAAGTATTACCTCTACACCTTTTCCTTTTCAAAAATATTTATGTTGTTGGATAATTAGTTTATGTGATTTTAAAAAAGGTAATTAAATTATTGTGATTGTGAATATTAGAATAGTTTTTGTTAAAATTAAAATTATTGAAAAAGCATATTGAAGTTTAATGGAATTGAACTTTGAATAAAACATGAATTGGAAATAATTAATGTTCTTACACTTATAACTTGGTTCTTTGTATCTAAATTTTCCTTGAATTTGTTGACTTAGCGACCATTAATGACGACAATTTCTGTTCACAAATCATGCTTCAATCTAGATGCTGGTCTGTCATGGAGATAATATAATTGACAATGGGGGCTGCATGTAACCCAAAACCATGACCAACCTCGAGATATGGAGACTAGGTGGGAAGCTTGTGACCACTCTCGCGTAGCTGTTGAGGGCCATGCCCCATTCTCCCGATTGAACTCCTGCGTCGTCGAGTCGGAGGGAAGACGACCCTAGGCAGACTGGCCGGCATGATTAGACGCTAATCACCCCTAATCAGCCTTGAAAGTGAGCCTATGAGAGAGCGAGTGGTACGAATATGTCATGGTCCGGCACAAGTCGGTGTTGGAGCCCGTGGTCCATCACGTGCCATTCACGATGAGCTGGGAAAGAGCAATGGTGATTAACACGAGAAAGAGCAATGGTCCATCACGTTTGCTCTGCTTTTGGGACTCATTTGGGCCCTTCGTGGTTTTTAGACTTAAGGAAAGGGTGCAAGAAACAATCACAATAATGGTCGCTCCTGCTGGGTTCTGGTTTTAGGTCCATGTCAAGATTTCTGGCATTTTACTGGTTATTATTTTCTGGCGCTGCTGGGACAATTTGAGAGGTACAAGAAGGGTGCAAGATCACATGCCTGTGTTGCTCATTTACACTCCATTGATGTGGACGAATTTAGGATGGCCTAGCAAACCATGGCCAGGGACTTTCTTTTGTTTTCTTTCTCACTTGCATTGAAATCTCCTCAGTGTCAAAGTTGGTGATTAGTCTCCATTGATAACGCGGAGTTAATTGAAGGGTGTTATTGGTTGTGGCCAAAATATTATTTGTCTAAAATTTCAATTTTTTTTGCTTAAAATTACTTTCATGCATTACTAAGCAAAAATCACATTGAAACTTAACCTCTCCTACATTCTCAAAAAGTTACAAAATACATTTCGTACTCCAAATCAAAGTTTATCAACATTAACACAATGATTATTTCACATGTTATAGAGCATATAACTCAATGAATATTTGATTACTCGGGTTAAGATGAAAACTTACCATTTAAAAAATGAGAGGGCAAACAAATAAACAAATAAAATAAATGGATAGCTTGTTTTTCATTAATAAAACTTAACTTAAATGGATAACCGTATCTTTAAGTCATGGCCTTGACCTAGACCAAGTGGATAACGTTGTCCACTAATTTGTTCGAGCCTTGTCCCAACAACAAACCACCATGTTATATAGGTATCAATTCATCCCCTAGTTATTCTAAGACTGAATCTCAATCCCATGTAAGTTCCTAAAAAATCAACATTGGAAGATATGATAGTACAAGGTTGACCACTAAGAAGTTAGTGTTGTGTCACTTAATTGCTCGTTCTAAAAGCAATCACAACCTATAAGTTTTTTTACAGTTCAACTCTTGTACAAATCATATAATTGGCTCGTGTCTTGGTAAGAAGAATATTTTTCTATTTGCTTACTATAATCCATGTAATCAAATCATTTTATCTGTTATATACATTGTATTTTTATTTTTATTGGTTAGGAAAAACGATATACAATGACAACATGATGATTTTTTTCTTTGAAGATATATGTAAGTTATCGTACTCTTTATCAAGTAAAACACATAATTTTCGATGGCTAATGGATATAACTA